GTGTGTGTGTGTGTGTGTGTGTGTGTGTGTGTGTGTGTGCGTGCGTGCGTGTGTGTTTGTCTGTGCGCGCGCGCGCGCTGCTTTCCCAACATAGGCGGGACTTTAGGAAGCCCGGGCTCATCGTGACGTGTTTTGCGGCCCAGGATCCCCCTCCTTTCCTCTCCCCTCCCCACCCCAGGGTGACGTGCAGCTCCGGTGCCCATCCAGTTTTGGCGGGCGGGCAGCGCCGGGCAGGAAACTGACTCACCACGCCTTGCTCGGCCCACGCGCCGCCCACCGCGCGCCATTTCCCGGGAGCGCAGCGCCCCCTCCGGGCCGCGGTGGGAGCCGCAAGGCGGGCCGTGCGCGGGTCCGCGGGTGGTGCCACCCGCTGCTGCCACCCCCACCCCCCACCCCCCACCGCGGCTGAAAGGGAGGCCTGGATTGGGTTTAGGGAATTAAAATATGCACGGTGGCCAGCGAAGGAAGGCGTTGCCTCGGTAAATGAGGGCTTATGATAGAAGTGGCTTTGAACTGGGTGTGCGAGCGGACTTTGTGGGAGGCGTGGCCCTTGAGAGCCAACGTGGGGAGCGTGCCCCTGTAGGGGTCCCGGCTCTTTCTTGGGCTCCTGGAAGCTGGGGACTCTCCAGAGTCTCGACAGAGCGCTAGCTGTGCTTTTCCTCGAGCCTGTGGAGCACTGAGGCCATTGGTGCTCTGTCTTTCCCCCTCTCTGGCCCCTAAGAGTTACCCTCTGGCGAAGGGCACCAAACTTGGGCTTGGACGCCGTTTGTCTGGGGAAATAAGCCCTGTCTCCGCTCATCTTTCAGTCTCTCTAGATCACGCTCTCTTGCTCGCTCGCTCTCTCGTTATGACCCTCAGAATGAGAAGAAGGGAGACCGGTTCAATACTAGAGCAAATGGATGTGGGTTCAAATCCTGGCTATGCCACGTGTGACCTTATTTAACTTCTGTGCCTTGGTTAGCTCTGCCCAAAAAGGAAGCGATAGTGCGGTCTGTTAACAATAGGTGCGGTGGCTCACATTTGCAATCCCAGGGGAGGCTGAGGCAGGAGGATGACTGTGAGTTCAGGGAACTAATGAATATGGCTGTGCTTTAGGAAGACTGGCAGTTGTAAACCGCTTAGAGCAGCCCTTGCACTGAAAAATGTAAATATACCCCGAACCCTCCCTGTAGGCAGACGCTATCTGAGGTTCTTTCCACAGCACCACACAACCCCTTTCAGGGACGGTGGGCATCTGTCTTAGTCCTGTGTCTTGTTTATTTGCTTTTTTTTTTGAGATCGGGAGTCTCACTATGTAGCCCAGGCTGGCCTTGAACTCACGGAGATCCTCTTGCCTCTGCCTCCCAAGTGCTGTGATCCTGTGTTTTGGGGAGGGGGTGCATTTTATTTATTTATATTTATATAGCCTACAGTGCTGGCCTCATTCCCTAGGCTGAACCTGAAACTCTGCTTTCTCTGCCTCTACCTCCGAATTGCTGTGATTACAGGGGTGTGCCACCACACCCAGCTTTACTGAGCGTCTTGTTTGCTAGGTAGGCACAGGGTTTACCATCTGAGCCCCAGACCCTTGCGGGTGGGTCTCTTTATCTCTTTTGGCTTCCTGCCTTATTCTGATCTGAGTGAGGCAATTGGGCAAACTCATCCTGAGGAGCTGAGGGTGTGTGTGGTGAGAGCCGAGGAAGCTACTGGGCAGACCTTGCAAGCTCAAAGACTGGAGGGCTGGACTGGTGCCCAGGAGAACCCTGTCCCTCCTTACGACCTGCATCCCCTGGCATTGGAGCCGGGCCAGAGCAGGCAGGAGCGGCCTGGGCCCCTCCGGTATCCCTTGCTCCCTGAACCAGCCACCTTTGATTTTTCTGTGCCTGTAAAACGGGTTCCTTGGGCACAGGCGGTAGGCAGGTCTAGGAGGTGTCTAGACTGCAGATTATACATCAGCCTGGCAGGATGTGGCTCAGCCTGGGAGAGGGATGGAGCCCTACGCTACCCCTTCAGCCTCTCCTCTCCCCGAGGCTACTGCCTCCGGGCACCCTAGATAACACCTCCACGGGTAGCACCTGTCGGCTGTGGTCTGGAGGAGGAGGTGCTGGGGAGGGGTGAGGAGGTGCTGGGGAGGGGTGAGGAGGTGCTGGGGAGGGGTGAGGAGGCGGCTCTGAGAGGCAGAGAGGCAGGCATGCCACCGATTCCATTTCCCAGGGTCGCCTACACTAATTTAGAGCATCCTCGTATCTGCCCTCAAACAGAGCCCAGAGATGTTAAGGTACACATTTGGGGGTCACCCAGCAAAGCCTTGATTCTGATCCAGGCAGGCTGGCTCCAATGTCCCCCCACCCCCTTTCCAGCCACCTTGCCAGCTCCCCGAGATGCTGCCACAGGTACGTGGGCTAAGAAACTGAGGCCAGAGACACTGAGTCACCTTTTAACTGTGGTGCCAAGTAGCAGCTCCAGTCTATGTGTGTCTTATCCCGAAGTCCAGGGCACTTTCGATTGGCTGGAGGGAATTACCCCCCAAAGGGCAGCAGAACAGGGCACTGAGGCCTGGCCCAGCTGCCAGTGGTGTGGGGGTGTGGGGGTGTGTTTGGGAAACCATTGGACCTTGTCAATTCACACGTATTTGGGGTGTTCACACCCAAGGACACTTTAGCACAAGACATTGATTTTAGCTGATAGTAGCCCTGGTGTAAACAGGACTGTGACCCCCCCACACACACACACTTCTGCAATGTATTGGCCTCTGTGGACATCAGCTGTGACCTTGAGATGCAGGGCTGGCTGAACTGAACACCCACTTTGGGTGTCTTGGTGCGGCGGGGTTCTACAAGGTGGTGGAGAGGGAGCAGGAAGATTGTGACTTGTGGTGCGGTTTCCATAGTGACCTGGGTCTTCTTGTGTTTCAGCCACAGGCACCACCATGTCCGATGCCAATGATGGCCGACCCGACCCACACAGGAGCAAGGTGTGCCGCCGTCTCTTCGGTCCCGTGGACAGCGAGCAGTTGAGCCGTGATTGTGATGCGCTCATGGCCAGCTGCCTCCAGGAGGCCCGGGAACGTTGGAACTTCGACTTCGTCACCGAGACGCCGCTGGAGGGCAACTACGCCTGGGAGCGCGTTCGGGACCTGGGGCTGCCCAAGCTCTACCTGAGCCCCGGGTCCCGTGGCCGTGCCGACCTGGGAGGAGACAAGCGGCCCGGCACCTCCTCCGCCCTGCTGCAGGGGTCAGCTCCGGAGGACCACGTGGCTCTGTCTCTGTCCTGCACTCTGGTGCCTCGCGCCCCTGAGCGGCCTGAGGACTCCCCGGGTGGTCCGGGAACCTCTCAGGGCCGGAAACGGAGGCAGACCAGCCTGACAGGTAAGGACAGGTACAGGGAGGAAGGATCCTGCCGGGGAGCTGGAGGCGGGGGGGTGGGGGGGGGTGGGGGGGGGTTGAGGGTCACACAAGCCTGCAGCCAAGCCCAATTTGCTGATATGGATCGGGTACTGATCTTACTCGGAGCTCTTGGTAACAAAGATCAAAGCCTTTGCAGAGAGCATCCCAGCCATCCCCCAGCACCAAGCCATTCTTGCCTTGCTTCCGAAGGTGAGGGAACCATGGCTGAGAGGTGTTAATGGCATTCACAAGATCCGGGCATTTTCTCTGCATTGACAGGAAGGCACCGGTCTAGAACCTACTAGGGGAAGCGCTGAGGGACGTGCCTTGGCAACAGAGCCACACCATAGGTTCCACCCCTCAGTACTGCTGAGGTGGCTCGGCAGATAAGAGCGTTCACTGCTCTTGCGGAGAGCCTGAGTTCGCTTCCCAGCACCCCCGTGGGGTGGCTCACAACCTCCCATAACTCCAGCTCTAGGGGATCTAACACCCTAGAGTTTTGATCCAGGCAGACAGAGGCAGCCCTCTGGCTGTAGGGAGGTGCAGTGCCCTGGGTCCCCCCCCACACCTTCCCCAGCGTAGCCACATGTCCCTTTGACTCTGGGGAAGGGTGTCCTTACCCCGCTGCCTCTGGCCTGACATTTGTTCTCTCTGCACAGATTTCTATCATTCGAAACGCCGGCTGGTCTTTTGCAAGAGGAAGCCCTGATGTGCGCCCAGGAGGCCTCGCCTTCTTCTGCAGTGGGCCAGGAGGCCCCTTCCCCACCTTCTTCTGCCTTAGGCCTTCCTTCACTCTGTGTGTCTTAATTATTATTTGTGTTTTAATTTAAACTTCTCCTGTATATACTCTGCCTCCCCCCCCCCCAGCCTCCATCCTTAGCGTTATTTAAAAGAACTAAAGTGGTAGGATAGATAGTAGACCCCTTAGTGCTGGGGATTTTTATTATGTAGACTGTTATTTAAGCCCTTCTGAACCCAAACTCTGTTCCCTATCCTGGAGGGAAGGTCGGACTGGCTTCATGCCAGCTACCCCCTCCCCCACCCCACCCCCTATCTGGGTGATGATACTTTCCCTAAATGGCCTGGTTCCTTCCACCTGTCTCATGGGGGTGATCCTCAGGCCTGAATAGCACTTTGAAGGGGGTCCAACTGAGTGGGACTTTGGGGTCTCCTTGTCACCTCTAAGGCTGGCCAGGGTGACAGTCAAGTGATCACAGCTTAGAACAGGGATGAGGCTTACCCTGGTTAGGACCCAACTGTAGTGTCCTGACCCTCGACACTTGCTCAGCCCTGTGAAGACAGGGAATGCCCCCCACTCTGGGTCCCTTTTGCCACCCCTGGGGAGCCTGCCTCCCCTGTGAGTCCCTCTGCCAGCTGCCCCTCTATTTTTGAGGGTTCGCCTGGCACTCCGCTGCTGTTCCCTCTCCAGACCCTCCCCCCCCCAATACCCCCAGGTAAGCAGGAGGCATCTCTGGGCACCTGGAAGGGAAGGGGTACACTAAATGGGGTTCCCTGGTTCTACCTCGGGCAGCTCCAGTGACAGCCACCCCCCTCATGGTTCGAGGGTGGGTCCCTGGTGGTGAGATACGCCTCCCAGAGCAGTGAGCATCCCTGCGATACCAGTGTGTGGTGGGGACCCTAGCGGCTGAAGTCATCAGCGACCCCTCCCATTTCTCAGTCCTTTGCGTGGCAGATGTACAAGGAGCCAGGCCAGGATGGTGCCTGGAGGGCTAAGCAAGCCTAACAGGAGACTGAGAGCCATGAGTGACCCTTACCCAGGACTGAATCCCTGCCAAAGCACTTACTGGGTCTGACCCCAGACACCTCTGTTTCTGTAACATTCTGGTCTGGACTGTTTGCCCTTCGCTGCCCCCCACCCTCCCGAACATGTATTTTGGCCTCTTCCCTGTTTCCACTCAGAGTGTAAACCTCCGAAGAGCAGGGACCACGTCCCGAAGCAGGTGCTCAATAAATATTTCCTGGTGACTTGTAATGATTTGTCATTAGGACAAGTGGGGAGTGTTTGGGTTGTGTGTGTGTGTGTGTGTGTGTGTGTGTGTGTGTGTATCTGTCTGTCTGTCTGTGTCTACAAGTGCACACTCAAGCAATAATTTTTCCCCCCGGTGATGGGAATTGAACCTAGGTCCCTGAGCATGGCAGGCAAGAACTCACTCCACCACTGAGCTGTAGCTCCGCCCCTTTAGTTTTCATTTTCAGACAAGGTTGGTAGGGTTTTTTTTTTTCATTTGAAAAAAAAAGTTCTCATCTTCAATTTAATTTTACAGAAATGGTTCTTTTAAAATACTTTTAAATTATATTTTATTTATTTTTGTGTGCGTGTGCATGTGCATGTGTGTGTGTGTGCTCCAGCATGCATCTCATGGGGCTTCTGTATCAAATTCATGTAGACAGAATTGATGGCGAGTATCTTTGCCCATGGAGCTTCCTCACTGGCCCCAGAAAGATCTCAATTTGATTTTTAATAATTTAGCTTCTTATTGCTCAACAGTTTCATACATGTGTATAGTGAATTTTTGTCCTTTTTCATTTCCTACGGTCCTCGATAAGTTGCTTAGATGGGACTTGAACTTGTGGCCCTGCTTCATCCTCTGTAGCTAGAGTTTTCCGGCCTTGCCCACAGTCAGGACAAATCTCTGTCACCCGCCAGTCCCACAGCCGCTCAGACCCAACCAAGTAAACACAGAGACTTATATTGCTTACAAACTGTATGGCCGTGGCAGGCTTCTTGTTAACTGTTCTTATATCTTAAAGTAACGCATTTCTACAAATCTATACCTTGCCACATGGCTCGTGGCTTACCAGCATCTTCACAGGCTGCTTGTCCTGGCAGTGGCTGGCAGCGTCTCCTTCTGCCTTCCTGTTCTTTTATTTCTCCTCTGTTAGTCCCGCCTATACTTCCTGCCTAGCCAAAACCAATCAGATTTTATTTATTGACCAATCAGAGCAACTTGACATACAGACCATCCCCCAGTACAGCCAAGTGCAGACCATCTCAGACACCTGCACTCAGGCCCATGGTCCTAACAATCCCCTATGCAAACCTGCTGGGTAACGCCACAAGGAACCCAAGAACAGGCTCCCACAGGACATATAGAACATCCCACAGCAATCCTCCCAAGGGTTACAGGACTCTTGCCATCAAGCCAGCTGCCTTTAGAATTAAAATTATTTTCTGAGCCGGCAGGGTGGCACTTGTGGCCAGCCCTGACCCCTTGAGTTCGATCCCTAGGGCCCATTTGATGGAAGGAGTGTCTGACTCATACGAGTTGTCCCCTAGTTGTTTCAACACCACATGTATGCATGTATACATGCATGTGCACACACACACACACACACACACATACACACACACACAATATGTGCCAGGTAGTTTTATGACAACTTGACACAAGATTCAAAAAGCCATGTGAGAGGAGGGGACCTCAGTTAAGAAATTGCCTCCATGAGGTCCGGCTGTAGGCAGGCCTTTAGAGCAGTGGTTCTCAGCCTTCCTAAGGCTGCAACCCTTAAATACAGTTCCTCATGTTGTGGTGACCTCCCCAACCATAAAATTGCTTTCATTGCTACTTCATAACTGTAATTTTGCTGTTGTTATGAATCATGACGTAAATACCTGTGTCTTCCAATGGTCTTAGGGGACCCCCAAAGGGTTGTGACCCACAGGTCGAGAACTGCCACTGTAGAGCATTTTCTTAATCAGTGATCAATGGGGAAAGCCCAGCCTTTCTAGGGTGCCGTGAAGAGACACCATGACCATGGCACCTCTTAGAAAGGAAAACATTGAATTGGGGCTGGCTTACAGTTCAGAGGTTCAGTCCATTATCGTCATGGAGGGAAGCGTGGCGGCATGCAGGGAGACATGGTGCTAGAGAGAAGGGCTGAAAATTCTACCTCTTGATCCACAGGCAGCGGAAGCAACTGTTCGTCATACTGGGCGGTATCTTGAGTGTATATAAGACCCCAGAGCCCGCCCCCACAGTGATACACTTCCTCCAACAAGGCCACACCCACTCCAACAAGGCCACGCCTCCTAACAGTGCCACTTCCTGTGTGCCACGCACTCAAACACGTGAGTCTGTGGGGCCACATCCATTCAAACCGCCACATTGCACTCCCTGGCCCCCATAGACTTGTAGCCGTAACATTACATGAAATGCATATAGTCCACCTTCAAAAGTCCGCATAGTCTATCACAATCTCAACAGTGTTTAAAGTCTGAAGTTCAAAGTCTCTTCTGAGATCCATGCATTCTCTAAACTGTAATCCCCTATAAAATCAAAATAAAAAAATCAGATCACATACTTCCAACAAACAGTGGCACAGGGTATACATTGCTGTTCCAAAATGGAGGAAAGGGAGCAGAGTGCGGAAACGCTGGACCAAAGAAAAACCAAAAACCAGCTGGGCCGACTCCGAACTCTGGGCCTCCGTGTCTGACGTCAAAGCGCTCTTCAGATCTCCAGCTCCTTTCCCAGCCTTTGATGACTGCAGCACACTTCTCTCTCTTGGGCTGGGTCCACTCCCTGATAGCAGCTCTCCTCGGCAGGTGTCCCATGCATGACTCTGGCATTGCCAGCATCTTGGGGTCTCCAAGGAAATCCAGGCTTCTCCTTCACAGCTTCACGCAATGGCCTCTCTGGGCCTCTATGCAGGGACACCCCTGCCACACACCTGGCCTCAGTGGCTTTCCTTAGTCTCCGAGGGAGATTCCATAACCCGTTTCTCCTGTCCTTGACTCTAAAGCCGGAACCACATGGCCAAAGCTGCCAAGTCCTGCTGCTTGCGAGGGCTGGAACATGGCCCCCTCGTTCAATCACATCTTCACCAGCTTCGTGTTCTTCCATTGTTTCCTTCACTGCCTAAGCCTGGCTGTCCTGGAATTCGATCTGTAGACCAGGCTAGCCTCAAATTTAGAGATCTGCCTGCCTCTGCCTTCTGAGGGCTGGGATTAAATGTGTGCCCTACCACACCTGGCTCTATGATTTTCTTTAATTCCTTTGCACAAGTTGGAAACTTAGCTGGGTGGGATCCTGTTCTGAGGTCACCACTCCCTTTATTCCATTTCTTAATCTTTTTTATCTCGTTGAACACAGGACTTAGCTCCATTCCACTTTCTGGTACCCCTTTCTCCTCAAATTGTAAATGTTTTATTTTTCCTTGTTCAGCTTGCTCATTTTGATTATAGATCTGTATAAGAATGAACACTAATAACTACACAACAAAGTCAATACTAGGCTCTTTTGAAATTTCCTTTGCCAAAGGAATTAGTCCAAAACTCTTCAATTTACCGTCAGGCAGACTTTTCGGACGAGGGCAAAAAGCAGCCACATTCTCCACCAAAATATCACAAGAATGCAACTGTGTACCACACTTGAACATACATGAGACCTCAAAGCTGGCCCCACAGTGACACACTTCCTCCAACAAGGCCACACCTCCTCCAAAGCCACACCTCCTCCAAAGCCACACCTCCTCCAAAGCCACACCTCCTAATGGTGCCACTCCCTGTGGGCCAAGCACTCCAACACCTGAGTTTATGGGGGTCACATCCATTCAAACCACCACACAGCCCATGGTGGGTGGTGCTGTGCCTGGGCAGGTGTTCTGGGTTCTATAAGAAAGCAAACTACGGAAGCAAGCCATTAAACAGTCATGGCCTCTGCATCAGCTCCTGCCTCCAGGTTCCTGCCCTGTGTGAGTTCCTACCCTGATTTTGACCATATCCCATGATGAACGGTGCTGTGGAAATATAAGTGGAATGGTCCCTTTCCTCCCTCACTTGCTTTTGGTCATGGTGTTTCATCATAGCAATAGAAAACCTAACTAGGACAAAATAAATAGAAAAATATTAAATATTACTTGGTTTTTAAATTTCATTTTATGTGTACGAGTATTTGTCTACATGTATATCTGTGTACCATGTATGTACCTGGTGCCAGCAGAGGTCAGGAGAGGGTGTCAGATCCCCTCTTCAGAGGGTTGTGCACTGCCATGTGGGTGCTAGGAACCGAACCCAGCTCCTCTGCAAGAACAAGTGCTCTTAGCCATGGAGCCTTCTCTCCAGCTCCTCTTGTCTTTTGAGACAGGGTCTCACTGTGTAGCCCGGGCTGGTTTCCACTTGGCTATATAATCAAGGCTGGTTTTGAACTCTGATCCTCCTGCCTAGCTGTCTTAGGTGGTTCTTACCATTTCAATCACCTTCAGGGTTATAACCTCTGTTTCACAGATGAAAAACAAAACAAACAACCCACAGCCACAAACTGAAGACCCAGGCCCAAAGTCACCCCCTCGGGAGGGTCAGAGCCCTGAGATCCATCATGAGGTCTGCAGGTCACACAGCCTGCTTGACAAACCTGAAAGGAGAGTTAGTGATACTTCCAAGTAGGGACCCACGGGGACCGACTGTGCCACTTTGAAATCTTTGACGTAACCCAGGCTTTCTCAATATTCCGGAAGGCTGCCAGATGCTATCTGGTCCCTTCCCCTGTGGCCCTGCTACCCACCCAAGCTCCTGTTAGACATATTTTGGAACTGACAGCTGGAGGCAGAGACCTGGCTGCTCTCTCCACGGCACCCCGGAACAGACGGTGTCTGCATCAGGGTTTACCAGACTGTGACGTGAAGTCAGCCAACTATGAGGAACCGAAAGTGTGTCTGGAAGCCTTGCTAGTTGTAAAATGGTCTCACGGCCTCATCTCTGTTCATCAATTCCATTCTGTAAGATTTTATTCCCACAAGCACTGGATTTTAAAACATTCATTATTATTATTTCTCGGTTTTAATTTTTTTGTTTTGTTTTTCGAGACAGGGTTTCTCTGTGTAGCTTTGGAGCCTGTCCTGGATCTCACTCTGTAGACCAGGCTGGCCTTAAACTCATAGAGATCCGCCTGCCTCTGCCTCTCAAGTGCTGGGATTAAAGACGTGTGCCACCACCGCCTGGCTCTTGGTTTTGATTTTTTTTGCCTGGCTTAC